AGTGCCTTTTTCAATGCAGTCTTCAAAGTGTTTTACTGAACAAGTCATAAAGAGAGATGAATTAAGTATAGGATTTCCTACAGGGATTGCATTGATGAAAAATTCTGTCTTCATATACTAAAGCTGATGAAGGGGATCTCCTAGTGGCCAAAATGAAGAATGAAAATAAAAACTATAAATAAAAATGTAGACATTATTTAAATGTAATGGAAGCTGTAATTCTTATTAATACTGGCTCTGAGATTCAATTCTTTTTACACTAATTGGATTACCTCAGAGAATGCTATTATTATTTACTAGAACTTGCAGTATGTACATTTTAATATTTGCTCATGATTGGAAGATTGCTCTTTACCTACCAGCTGTTATAGAAAACCTCCAACATGCTTGCTAATGCTCTATACATGTGTAGTTGTGCTTTTCATCCAGGTCACCATTGTCCTGACTCTTTGACCCAAGGTCCAGTTTATTCCAGAAAAAACAGCAGAGCCAGAGAAGCTGCTAGGAATTAAAAGAATAGTCTCAAAGGGTCAGAGTTTAATTATGTGTGTTTATTAGTAAAATTGTGGCCTTTACCTGAGTCATAGAGGAATGTATTCCTTGGAATTGTTGCTGGGAGAAAACTGGATCAATGATCAGCTGGGAAAAAGTTAGAGTAACTGAGGTATAAAACCACTGGGAGCGTTCTCACAGTATGGTAGTATATTTTTAAAGAAATCTCTCTCATGCGCAAATAAATAAACGAATAAATAAAATACATAGTGACAAGGAAGAAAAAGGGCTGGATTTGGGATAATTGTGGTGGGGAGGAAAATACATGCTGAAAACAAGGGGAGAAAAAATTAATTGGGACTAGGCAAACAGTTGTATTAGATGTATGCTCATTTTGTTTATCTCAAGACCGTGATTATTGATGATTCTGTGCTATCAAGTTGGTGTTACTCTTAGCAACCACATAGATACATTTACTTCAGGATGATCTGTCCTCAACCTGGTCCTTCAGATCTTCCAGCAGTGTACCCATCACCTCTGTGACTGAGTCCATCCACTTTGCTGACAGTCATCCTCTTCTCTTTCCTTCTACCTTCCAGCATTATGGACTTCTTCTGAGAGCTAGGTCTTTGCTTAATGTGTCCAAATTATTATAATTTGAGCCTGGTCATTTGTGCCTTAAGTGATAACTCAGAGTTGATTTATTTGATGATCCAACACTGTCATGACTGAAGAGTTTCAAAATTTCCAAATACAAGAATAGAAGAATTCTTAATTGGCAAGAGAAAACGTACAGAAACTGTTATTCTGGCCAAAGAGGGAGTTCCAAAATACTGACTTAAAAATTGTCCAAATATTTGCACTTGCCATATTCAGTTATCTTATTTTGAACCTGTAAGCAGCTGCACAGAAACATTAAGTATACATTCATATTTACAGAAAGATGTTGTGTTTAAATTTTTATGGGGCTGACCTTGAATAAAATAAATGGGAATTTAGTATTTATGCTATGTATTAAAAAATAATAAACTGGTTTATCTTATTATATATGATTTGCTTGGAAAAACATGCTAGTCACATGTTTGTTAGAAAACTGGATCCTGGTTGGCAATGAAAAATCAAGGAAGAGGTGGACAATTTCCTACTAGGCACTGTAACAAAAGGAGGATAGGGTTTTTTCTCCCGAGTCTAACATGAAAGGGCAGCAGCTGAGATCACAGTCCCAAAGTTAGGACTCTACAGATTAGCCTCCCAAGCAGTAGAAAGGTAGTGGGAGAACCTCATGGATGACAGTTACCACAGTAGGGTTCCTCCATTGATTAAATCAGATGGGTTCTTTCAGTGGAACTAAAGATATCTGGAAATGTCTACAGGATCTCCCAGCAATCACACAGCCAACTAGTTCATGGGGATACCAGAAAATAGGCCAATCTATTTTTGTTATATTTCTTTCTGTCTTCTATAGGGAAATACAGCGGTTCTCTCATGCCAAACTTGGTGCTCTGTGCCTGCCAGATGAACAAGGAAACAACAGTCATATATGATTTCTACATTGTTAAGAAATCCCTCCAATAAGCAGGAATACATTCCAATATATATGGAAAATAGTATTTCTGATCCCCACCCCACTCAAGCTTCATAAGAGGATTAAACATATATTTTCCTTTTTTTTTTTTTTTTGTCTTTGAGACTTGACTCCTGGCAACTAGATGGATGAGCCCATATAGTTTTCTTAGCAACTTTTTCAGAAATGGTTTGCCATTACTTTCTTCCAATGACTTTGTACCAAAATCACCCATCATTTTATATTTAATGCATTGAAAACTGCTGTGAATTGTTTGGCAATATATAAGCATAATAAATAAATAAGTTGGGAAAAAATAATACAAGGAGCTACTTATCATTAGGTGTTACAACAGAGACTGCAAGCCTTTGCCCTGGTGAGTATGAACAGACACAAAATTAGTGAAGTCGCTTCTTACCATCCCCTCTACTTCGCTGGAGGTTTCTTAACAACGTAGCTTATTTTTATCTTTTTCTTGGGCAGCTGGTACATTCTCAAATATAACACTGGGGTTCAGCCTTCAACCATTGTTATTTTCTAAGAATGCCTATGGAGTATTTATGGGTAAATAAAGATTACCAATCTTCAATTTCCAGAATGCCAGCTACCTGTGATTTGTTTGTTTGTTTGAGGAAAGAAAATTAAAGTTAAGCAAGTTTCAAGGGAGGTGCCCATAAACTGCCTAGTTCTGGTTTACAGTATCTTGGAATGCAAGTCACACACATGGAAGTCCGATCTGCACCACCAGGTTGCTCCAGTTTGAGTATAGCCCATTACTTATTTCTGGAGGGCAGGAATGCACATCATCCCTTATCTGCCCCCAGCCTACTAGAAAGTAACCTCTGCCATCTTTTCCTGCTGCATGTCAACATTTTTAAAGTTACCTCAACCAGTGAATATCTGTCTTTTTATACTGGTGGATTTTATGGTGTTGTTCTTCTTCAGATTTTCAGTTATAAAACACAAAGGTGGGTTTCTCTTCTTTTTTCCTTTTCACCAGGTGAAATTGATGAAAGTTTTAAATGTGTGACCTGTTTTGGAAAAGGTAATATTTTCTACCAATCAAAGGATACAGCAATACGTATTATTACGGCAGAGATTCTGTGATATAATATGAACAATACAAGATATTATTGTAATATAATAGTGACTTTATTGATAAGCTAGTGACTATTAATAAGTACAACATATAACAGATTTTTTTTCCTTCTTAGTTTGTATTTTTAGTTTGCATTTTAAATTTAAGTTTCCTCTTTTTTAAGATTAAGGATTGTTTTGTTACAAAAGTAATTTTTTAAAAAAGAAATTGACTAAAAATTTACCAGCTTTTCCTGCGAGAGGGGGTCAACAGAGGAGAGCTCATAGAAGAGATCTGCCAATGGAAACCACGTCTTCAAAACCCCGCCCATGGAATGGAAAGTGATTGGTACTTGCTTTCTTGGCATGGGTGGGAGGAGTAAAGAAGCGGGGAGATCCACCAATCAGGTCAGAACACCAGGCCATTTCCCCACCCCCACCCCGCAGCCGGGGAAGGGAATCGGAAAATACATTTCTTAAGAGCATTTGATTTTTACCCAGTTTCTGCAAGCAGTTTAAGGCGGCAGTGCGGAAAAGCCCCGAGCCCCATTTACAGGTTTTAAAAATGAAATAATCCTCAGTATTTAACTTCTACAGAGAAGAAAAAGTGATCCCTACTATCTCCCAATCACCTCCCCAAAGGCTCTACTATATAAATTGTGAAGAGCAGAGGCATGAAACGATGCACTGAATCCGTCCGAGACAAACGCGCACCTAGATCAAAATTTCCCTTCTAGCTGTCACCGCCTCCTCCGTAGAAGTGACTCCGCTACTGCTGATTGGATACCGCAGCTCGATTGTCTCTTTCCACATGCCTGTTAAGTTGGTAGATGATTTGATACCAAGCTGACCCAGCAGATGCCCTTTTAAGGAATGCGTAAAACTCGCCTGTTATCAGAAGTATAAAGATCAGTGGGATACATAGGCTAGTTAAGTCGCTTTTTTTGTTCTCCAAAGGCATAACAGAAATCCATGGCAAAATCCAAGGTTATCCAGCTATTAAGTAGCAGGGATTGCGCAAGACAACAGCAGGAAAGACTCTTCGTATCTCTAAACGAGGTCATTAATGAGATGTTTTTAAATCATTGAAACGCGTAATCTGTATATGTGGTGTTCATGCTCCGCCAATAAAGACCGCTAGAAAGAGCTGCTCTGAAATTGCAAATTAAATAGCTTAACATATGCAGAATGTTGAAGGCTATTTTTAACTAGATATTAATACCAAGACTGTGGCAAAGAGGGGTGCCTTCCTTAAGTTTTTCTCTGTTCCCTGAATTTTCTCTTAACATGAACTCCCGCTCTACCTTTAAAGATCTGATTAAAACTTTACTTTTCCGCAGCAATGGAGTACACCGCAAGTTGGCGTGTTGTCACTTACAATTTGTAGGGTGAATCTGATGGGCTGCATTGAAATTGGAATTAGCAGTACCGTATATGTTTAAAAATAAATGATAGCTGATTCACATAAAGCAAGACCTCAAAAGGCATTAAATTGGGCTAAAATATAATCTCGGAAATGCGCGTATCCAGAGTTTAAAATACATTTCTTTATTTTCTCTCTTTTTGTAATTCCTACGTTTTCTTTTAAAGCCAATTCCGGGTTACAGGTCACGTGATGCATCCCGACCGGTCCACAAGAGGGCGCACTCAATGGCGCTACTGACGGTCTAGGAACAAAAATGGCCAGTCATTGCGCGCTTTCCGCCTCTCATTCAAAATCGGCGGCGACAGTCGCCAATCAGATCTAAGCTGAGCACTTTCGTTCTATGATTGACGCCTCTAGCAGCCACTAGCGGACAGCTAGGCCTAGCGACCGTGGGCGTGTGCAGGGCCAGAGTCGGCTGGTGATGGCGGAACGAGGCGGAGGAGGCGGAGGAGGTGGTAGCAGCGGCGCTGGTCCTGGCGGGAGCGAAGGAGACGCTGGTGCAGCGGAGCGGTACAACAATGAAATCAGGTAAAGACAAGTCTTCTGCTTGAATCTACGTCCAGAGCACTGGGAGGAAACAGCGGTCGCCGGCAGCACGAGGCCTTTATGAGCGCGCGAGAGCGCGCGCCTGCGCACATACGCGCCGAAACCTCGAGCGTTCTCCGGCTCCGCTGTTTCCTCAGATCGGGAGAGCGGCGCGTGGGGGGAGAG